AATTGTTAATTTTAAAAGTCACGTACCCAAATTAACACACCCCTAATAGTCACAGGACCAAAAGTGTAATTTGCTCTTTAGGTAATTAACTCTAGGACAAATTATGTCATGCATATATGTTCCCTTTGCAGTTTGCACGATGAATTATGATAAATGTTTATTTTTAGTAAGTTCATTATATTTTCATATATTTATTATATGTAGATTCAAAATGAACATGTAGTATATTAATATGAACTTGCATATACTAAAAATGAACATATAACAAGATTTCATATTGCAAAATGGACTTTGATCTAGGATATCACGATTATATTAAGAAATGTTAAGTTAATGACTTATGAGATATATTTTGCATATATTCATACTAGTACCCAAAGAAATGGATAAAGATCAAATCAACCCTCTAAAAATAATAATTAAGCCATCAAATTTAAAACACACATGAACTTTTAGAAAAAAAAAAAAAAAAAGTACAATTAAATCTTTTGGACCGTAATAGGCCTAGGTCAACCACTTGGGCCAAGTCCAACCATTAGGGCAAATTATGACAATCATTACTGTATGGACCATGGTCCACACAAGTTGTGTGGACCATATTTTGTCTACTATAAAATAATGTACATTCAGTACAAATATAATGTACATTCAGTACAAAAATAATGTACATTGTATTCAGAAAATGTACATTATTTTTTTTGAGTGTACATTACATTGTATAATGTACATTCAGTACAAAAATAATGTACATTTAGTATATTAAAAATGTACTTTTTGTTATGGTCCACACAATAATTTGCCAAATTATGATGTGCAATCGTGTACATCATGCATGGTACACACTGTTCTATATTCATAATTATTGAACTATATGTTCATAATTATAAAGTTATATATTCATAATTTTTTAATTTTATATTCATAATTATTGAACTCACTATTCACAATTACAGAACTTTATATTCATAATTTTCGATGTTCATATTCTCAATTGTTGAACGTTGTATTCACAAATCACAGAACTATATGTTCATAATTTGATAATATACAGTTTATAAATTATGAATCTATAGTACATATATTATGAATCTGCAGTATAGAAATTATGAATCTACTATATAGAAATTATTAATCTACTGTATTTAAATTATGAATCTACAGTTTAGAAATTATGAATGTATAGTATAAAAATTATGAATTTATAATATAGAAATTATGAATTTGAACTGTGTGCACCTTGCATAGTGCACACGGTTGCACAAGATAACGCTCCAACCATTAGGGGTGATGCCGAATACGTACTAGACCACTTGTACGCATATTAGCTCCATTTTGGCTTTCTTCACCGAGAACTCAGTTGCGGTTATCGCGTCCACATATAATTGCCAACCCCATATCTTTCTCTAGCAGTCTAGTCAAGGTGTCCCCTCCTTTATAATTTGAGTCCACCAAAGATCAAATTAGTCACTAGTTTGTGCGCTTGGTTCTTGATCGATTGATGGGTGACCAGATGGCTCCTAGCATACTTATCATCCCTTTTGTTTTATAGGGGAGGCCTTTACTCTTCTTTTATATATATTCTCGTATTATGCTTTGTTAACATCTGGATGGACCTCCATTTCTCTATTTCTTGAAATAGCGTCCATCCACCTATCCCTTACCTACCAGTCTAGGCCCTTCTTGTGGATTGTAGGCATTTTTATTTTTTTTTTTTAATGTCCCGCCATCATTTTGTTGGACCATGAATTTCCTTTTGGTCCTATAGTGATTTTTTCAATTTTAGTCCATCATGATTATTTTTGTCACATTACGTTCATTATTATTAAAAGTGTTTTAATTTTAGTCCACTTTAAAATTTTTCGTGGACTAAAATTGGAACACTTTTAATAATAGTGAACGCAATGTGACAAAAATAATTATGGTGGACTAAAATTGGAATGATCCCTATAACAATAGGACCAAAAATGAAATTCAACTCGGATAATAATATAATTTAGCATTACCAAAAAATTGGATTGGGAATTAGGGAAGCTCTCTTAGCTAGATCAAAGAGATTGGCTTGAATTATGTTAAGGTTAATGTGGAAGCTCAAACAATGATTGATGATTTAAATTATGATCAAATTTTCTCACTAGTTGGGCTACTTCTTGAGAATATTAAAGATATAATGAGTAGTATTTCAAAAATTACACTTATTTTTGTTAAGCGTTCAGCGAATAGAGTTGCCCACGATTCAATTTAACTAGAGTAGTGTGTTCTTTGTATGAATGTATTGTATGGTTGAACACTCCGCTAGCTATCATTTTTGATAGTTTAAGGTTTCACTTTAATGAGTAATGATCTTTCTTATTTTCAAAAAAAAATTATATATTATTATTATATTTTGAGAGTAAGTTGAAATTGTAAAGATGTAAAGAAAATAGTAATGAATATATATATATATATATATATATATATATATATATATATATATATATATATATATATATATATATATTGAATCCGGTGCACACCCCCTAGTCAGCCGAGCCAGTGAGTACATTCCCTGATCGTTGATTTTAATTTTTTGACGATTCAGATTGATTACCACTTGGATCCCATGTTATACTGATTTTAGATGAAGCATGGGTGTTTTTGTCCTTAAGCACTATATATATATATATATATATATATATATATATATATATATATATATATATATATATATATATATATATATATATATATATATATATATATATATATATATATATATATATATATATATATATATATATGGCTGCGTTTAGGTGAGAACGCCTTGCTCAAGAAAGAAATGAAAATGTATGTTATTCGTTCACGTGTCCAGATCTAATGGATGAGAAACACTGATTAAAAAAAATGCGGTGACTTTTTTTGTAAATAATTGAACATCGAAGTGTAAGTAAAATTTATTACAAGTGCAAGTAGTAGTTTCATATAGTGCACCTAATAAGTGCAAGCAAAATGTATTACAAGTGCATGTAAAATGTATTACAGGTGCAAGTAAAATTTGCACGGAGTATCAATACTAAGTGTACCTGACGTTATAACTAAGTGCATCTATAGTTATAAGTAGTTGCACCTAGGTACAGGAAGGTTAACAAGGTAAAATTACTTGCACTTGAAAGTGATTTTACTTGCACTTTTTACTTGCAAAGGTGCACCATCTACTTGCACTTATAACATATTTACTTGTACCAAAGTTTGAGTTATTTACGAAAATACCACCGCGTCATTTTTTTAAAATTACATCTGATTCGTTGATCTGGACACGTAGACGGTTGTGAGTGGTTCTTATTTCTCTCCTGGATGGTTGTTCTTACCTGAACGCGCCCCTATATATCAACATCAAGGACAATTTAGTAATATCAACATCATTGAACAAAAGTATCATTTAGGGATTAGTATTTAAAGACCTTAAATAAATGCTTGCACTTTCCTTTTGAAAAAATCGTACAAATTTATAATTAACACATTTTTTTCCACTTCATTTTATGTTTATTTTCCTCTTCTTTGATCTGTGTGTTCATTCTCCCTCTTTATCATGATTTCATTTGTTTTTTTTTAAAGTGATCTCAATCATAATTCTTCATTTTTCTCTTCTTCAATCTGGGTGTTCTTATTCACTTTTTTGGGTGATCCCAATCATAATTTTTCATTTTTCGTTCATTTTTCCCTTCTTCGATCGGAGTGTTCTCATTCACTTTTTTTTTTGGGTGATCACAATCATAATTCTTCATTTTCCGTCATCATTTTCCTCTTCTTCGATCTCTATATTCTTTTGCTGTCTTTATTGCGATTCATTCACTTGTTTGGGTGATACAATAATAAAGTGAAAATTGAAGATAAAGTAAAAATTGAAGGCGATTTAATTCAATTTTTTTCACAGCTTAATGTCTTTTAAATTTATTTTTTCTTTTTCCCCATATTTATTTTAGTAATAATATAATTGCCTAAATCATATTACAAATGTATACTTTCAAATATTAGAATTATTTATAATTTCAAATTTAATTTTATTATATAAATATAAAATAAGTTTTTTTTTTATTTTATTTTTTTATTTTTTTTATCATCGTACGAGTAATTTACTGGTTGATATGATAAAGTAAGATCTGTTTTTAAAAATGGAAAAGAATTTAATCCTTTATATAATAAAGCTATATGGTTTGGAAAATAATTAATTTTACAATTAATGCCACAACATCCTTTATTATAAAAAAAAAACACAACATTTAAAAAATAAAATAGTTATATATATTATATAATCATATAAAAAATATACTTTTGAAAAATAAAATAGCTATATATTATATAATTATATAAAAAATATGTTCAATTAGAGTTTAAATTTACAATTTTACACATATAAAATTTGAAATTTGTTTTTCAAATGTAATTATCTTAGTTATTATTTGTATTGTGAAAATTATAATATAGATGAAATACAATTAAGAATAAATCAATGTAATTATGTAAATTATCTCTATAAGTTTATTTGAATATGCACATAATTAGAGATTATATTAACCATACAAAATTATAATTATAATTATAATTTTAATTGTAATTTTGTATTCTATAAAAATAATAAATACTTTGACCAATGGAAGTTCAAAAATATTATTATATTAAATAATTTAAAATATTCTAATTTTTCTATTTTTTTTATTTATATTTATAATAACATAATTTTTTTTCGTGCATCGCGCGAGTGAATTACTAGTAGATAAAAATAGGCTTATATGTTTGTTACAATAGAAGGTTTGTTTGACTTTTATCTAAAAAGATAACTCTTCGGACGTGTCATATGAAGAAGCGATTGAAGATATGGTATCACCAAAGACAGAGCACACCGGATTCATCCCCTCTGGACACAAAATTCCTGCGACCCTCATAGACGTCCACATACCGACAAATCATGTGACAATACTGCCCTGCAACGATATATGTCTGTTAATACAACAATCAATCGTGTCGTCGTATTATAAGAAGAAGCAGTTCGCCCGGGGTGTCTCACTATTTTTACGAATAAAAAAACCTCCCGTAGGGGCCTCCTGATAACACATCACTCTTAGCCTTGACTCTGGTTTTCCTGGCCGGAGAAGTGAGATGGCGACGGCGGTAACGGCGGTAGCGGCGGAGCAACCCAAGGTGGGTGGGTGCTGCAAGTCTGGGCCCGGCTATGCTAGCCCCAAGGAAGCCATGAAAGGTCCTCGGGAGTCCCTCATTTATGTCACGTGCGTCTATTCAGGTACCCTTCTTTTTCCCCCCTTTCGTGGTTTCGGAATCGCCGATTCCGGTTCGGAAATCCAGTTCCCGATTCCGATTCCCGAATATCATCATCTCCCCAAAATCAGCGAATTTTAGGCTGTTATCATTATCGGGTTTTATCACTTTTTTTTTTTGTGGGTTTTATCGCTTTTATGTCACATAACAATAATTAATGAGAAAATTGTAAAAAAATGTCTCTTTATAATATGCTAATTATTAATCCCACTCTTAAATTATGAATGATGTAAATGTTATTCCTTAATTATTAAAACGGTGTACATATAGTTCCTCCCGTAACGGACATGTAGTTCTCCTTTAGTGTACAATACCGTTAAGCCGGAGTAAATATGTAATTTATTTATTTTTTCCTTCCCTCCATTCGAGTACCAGTGATGCACAGCGTTGGGGAACCACAGATCCGTTACGGCAGGGGTTATATGTGCATGCACTATTTTAATAATTGAGGAGCAACATTTACACCACTCATAATTTAGGGGTGACATTGATAATTTAGATATTATAAAGAGGTATTTTTTACCATTTTTCCATAATTAATTATAGTATTAGTATTTTGATTTTACATTTAAAAAAAAAATTATGATCAATAATTATTAATTTTAATTAGTATTAAAATAGTAGTATATGCCTATACGGCACGTTTGTCATCGTGAGTCTTGGTCTACTAGGATAGGCTGAGAATTTATCTTACCTTATCTTTTAGTACAATGAATTTTCTCATTGGGCCAAGTGATCTTTATAATTTGATTGGATAAATATTGACTCTATCATCACTATTCTTAATAATTTTGATTAGATAAAAACTTTCTATGTCACATTGTCACCGGATACCTCTTTTTAACAATTGTTATACCATGGACCGTCAAAAAATTATCATTTTACATTAATATATTATGTGAATGTAGTTAACAAATTTTATGTGTCTTTAATAAATTAGAAGTACATAATATGTTAACTAGACACTATATGTGCAATCATATATATACCATATACCATTATAAGGTGAACACTAACTTAAGATACATTTTTATTATATTAAATTAAATTAAAGGTATATTTTTAATAAACTAAACCTTATTTTTTGAAGGTACGTTATTTGGTAAACTAACTACGTAATGAACCTTCAATATACAAATAATGTACATTCAGTATATTAAAACACTTTTAAAATATATAAAAATGACCTATGGTGTTGTAGAATAATCCATCTCTAATTACACATTAGTCAAGTAGTCAACACATTTCTCATGAGGTTTTATATTTGAAATGAAATTTGGAATACGATATTTGTGGCATGTGTAAAGTCCAATTAAATCAGATTAATTTATTAGTACTTTTTTTTTTTTGAAAATAATTTATTAGTACTTCTCTCAAAACAAATCCATGAAGAACAGATTTGATGCGATTTGTTGTCAAAAAATTATTATTTTAGCAAAATGAGTGCATTCTTTTAATATACTGATGTGGAAAATTCCTTTTTGTATTTAAGGATTTGATTTCTGACATGGAGTCTTACTTTGTGGCCAGCAAATGCTATTTTTACCTTATTTTACATATTTAGTTTAATGACCTAAGTTTAATTTAATTTTTTTATTAGTTATATTTGTGTTTAGAGAGTAAAATTTATGTATTTAACAATTGCATCATATGATTTATTAAAAAGAAAAAGGACCTAGTGTGCACACATAGTGTTTGAAATTATTCATAATGAGGAAAAATTGCATTTTTGGTCCTTCAGTTATACCCGTAATACAAACTTAGTTCCCATGAGTTATATGTATGATCATCTTTAACCCTTAAGTTAGGCCCAAAGTGGCGATTTTAGTCCTTCAGGGACTATTTTTATCACCAATTTGTCACTTAATAAAGTGACGAATTTGGTCATTCAAGGACTAAAATGGCCACTTCATGCATAACTTAGGGATTAAAGATGGTCACGCATATAACTCAGCGATTAAGTCTGTACCACAGGTATTGCTATAGCCTATATGCGTGACTATAGCATCGTCATGTCACCTCTGCATGTACACTTTGTGCATAAGGAGTCTTCATCACCTCTGATCAATCTTTTGGGCTTTGGGTCTCCCAATGACTATGTCTTCAGTGGGAATCGAACCTCCACCCTGCTGCTGGAGCAAGACTTCTAAGGTGACCCTTGAATCATTGAGCTAAGCCCTGCGGGGCTAGACCCTAAGTTTGGGTCGATTAAAACAGCTAGACGGTGGTCATGGAAGTCGAATTTCGCTAAGGAGTGTGTAACAACTCACTTGTCAAGTCAAGGAATTCGAAATTTACCATTACCAAGAATTAGATAGTCGAGTTGAACAATTTTGAGTGATAATGTTGGAAATAGTTGAACCATCTATTTACCTTGTAAACCACTGCATGCTATACATTTTCTATTGGAATGGAAAAGCTATAGATGTAGGAGCTGACAGTTCTATTTAAAGTTTCAATATTTCAGTGATAAATTTGTGTTTGGTTCATCCATGCAGGAACAGGAATAGAGAAACCTGATTACCTGGCTACTGTTGATGTTGATCCTAATTCACCAACATTTTCTAAGATAATCCACAGGCTACCAATGCCTCACTTAGGCGATGAACTGCACCATTCGGGATGGAATTCCTGCAGTTCTTGCCATGGCGATTCATCTGCTACTCGAAGATATCTCGTCCTGCCTTCACTAATGTAAGTATAGCTCTATATATATATATTTCCCGCCTTTGGGTCTGCCTTGTAGTCTCGGCTCAGCAGTCAACTCTTTTGGTGTCCCGTTTTCATCTACCATATCTAATTTTTTCTCATTCCACTATCTCATTTTTCGGCCAGATTAGTGTATTTCACCATTGCCATGTCTTACAAGAGGTGAATTTTTACTGTTTCAGATCGGGGCGGATATATGCAGTTGACACAATAAAGGATCCGAAAGCTCCTAGTCTGTATAAAGTTGTTGAACCGGATGATATTGTAGAGAAGACTGGATTGGCGTTTCCACACACGGCTCATTGCCTTGCTTCGGGCGACATAATGCTGTCGTGCCTTGGTGATAAAGATGGGAATGCCGAGGGGAATGGGTTTCTTCTTCTTGATTCTGATTTCAATGTGAAGGGGCGGTGGGAAAAGCCGGGGCACAGTCCACTGTACGGGTACGATTTTTGGTACCAACCTCGACACAAGACGATGATCAGCTCTTCTTGGGGAGCTCCCAGCGCCTTCACGAAAGGCTTCAATCTTCAGCATGTTTCTGATGGGCTGTACGGTCGCCATTTGCACGTCTATAGCTGGCCCGATGGCGAGTTGAAACAGACGCTGGATCTTGGAAATACCGGGCTTCTACCCTTGGAGGTAAGACGGGGGCTCACTCTTTCGCTCTTCCATTTCCGTAAACACTGAGTTGCATTTACTTCATTTCTCTGTTTTTCTATTTCACTCGTATCGATTGAACTCGTTGCAGATAAGATTCCTGCATGATCCATCTGAAGCGACCGGGTTCGTGGGGTGTGCATTGACCAGCAACATGGTTCGTTTCTTCAAGAATCCAGATGACTCGTGGAGCCATGAGGTAATGTTGTATGTTTGAGTTTCTTGCCACAGAGATTTAAACCACGTGTTCTGATACCAAATTGAAGCATGTGTTCCATCTCAACTAAAAATCTAAGCTGATAGTTGGATTTATATATTACTCCGTATATGCTTGCTGATTAGCTATGTACTGCAGCTAGCAGTGTCAGTGAAAGCACTGAAAGTCCAGAATTGGATTCTCCCTGAAATGCCTGGGCTCATTACTGATTTCCTGATCTCGTTGGATGATCGCTTCCTCTACTTTGCGAATTGGCTGCACGGCGATATTAGACAGTATAACATCGAGGATCGAGCAAACCCGAAGCTGGCGGGGCAAGTATGGGTTGGTGGATTGATCCGAAAAGGAAGCTCTGTAGTTGCAGAGGCAGAAGATGGCACAACATACCAGGTGGATGTCCCAGATATCCAGGTATATTATTTGCCCAACAATCTCATAACTACCAATTGCTGGGCTTGACCCTTCCTCGGCCTCTGCCTAACAATTGACCCTTCATTGGCCTCTGCCTAACATTTGATCGATCTGATGGGTCGTGATCTGCAGGGAAAGAAGCTGAGAGGAGGACCGCAGATGATACAGCTGAGCCTAGACGGGAAGAGGCTATACGCGACAAACTCGCTGTACAGCACCTGGGACAAGCAGTTCTATCCAGATCTGGTGGAGAAAGGCTCCCACATTATACAGATAGATGTGGACACACACAAAGGCGGGCTCTCCATTAACCCTAACTTCTTCGTCGACTTTGGAGATGAGCCGGATGGTCCAGCCTTGGCTCATGAGATGAGGTATCCTGGTGGTGACTGCACTTCTGATATCTGGATTTAATCAATAAAGCCTTGTAGCCACTATCCATGGGATATTAGCATTTCATGCATGTTAAATAACCCAGCTGGGATATGCATGTTTAATTTCATCAAACACATGTACTCAGTCCCTGTCTCATGATTTCTCTAATAATTTCAAATAAATGATTACGTCTCCCTTTACGTCTGTTTTTCACTTCAATTCCTAATAGCCAACGGAGGGTTGCTCTTTATAATCACATAAAAAGCCTTGGCAAATTATATATATATATATATATATATATATATATATATATATATATATATATATTGTGGATCATGCTCTAAAATGATGTCGTTTTATATTAATTGCCAACTAATGTATCATGTTTAATAAGATTATTTAGTACTATGTTCATAAACCTAAACCTTCTTGACGCCGAAGGTGGTTATGTTTCGGCCTACAGCGCTTCCCTCCCGAGTTGTTTCTCCCCATTTATGGCCCAAGCATTCGCGTGCAAAGAGGCCTTGTCATGACTAAGGGCTCGTGGAGAACAGTCTATAGAGCTATAAACGGATTGTCGTACACTTCAGTGCTACCTATCTTCACCAAGTGCTCTGTCTGGATCGTACGTATATTGGTTATGCTATTGATGGTTGCATATGCAAGCTTGCATATCTACGTTTGATTTTTGCTCAATTAATTTTATTCCTAGATCCCATGGTTATGCTATTGATGGGTGCATATGCAAGCTTGCATATCTACGTTTGATTTCTGTTCAATTAATTTTATTCCTAGATCCCAAAATTACTTAGCTCACACTTTAGCTTTTACAACTTTTGAACATGGTACGGCTATGTATTGGGACGTTTGTCCCGCCTGACTATTTCATTTTATCTCTAAATAAAACAGCATTGGCTTGCTTTTAAAAAAAAAATGTTCATAAACCTAAACCTTAATTTAATAAATATTAAACTGAAGGTACATCGTATGTATTTTCATTCACTTTATAGTAAGTTCATAATAATGTTCTCTCTATATGTTCATAAACACAAAACTTAATGTGTATAAACATTACACACTACTGACACATACATCATGTTTGATAATGTTCATTTTATATTATGTTCTATATGATCATAAATCTAAACATTAATATACATAAATACAAAACTACATCTACATCACATCTATTTTCTTTCACTTTGTAGTAGATTATAATATTCTTTTTATATATTCATAAAAATAAAGCTTTTTTTTTTATTTTATTTTATTTTTTTTTTATTTTTTTAAGGCAACCATAATGGTTATTTTATAGATATGCAGAAATAGAATTCGGAGGGACGACGTCCCAATACATAGCTGTGGTAAAATCAAAAGCAGTAGAAGCTAAACTATGTGCTAAAAAATTCTGCGATCTAGGTACGAAACTAATAATAGAAATGTCAAAAGACGATAAGTAGGCCTTACAGGCTTGTAAAACGTATCCTACGTATGATCGGGGTATAGGCATAGATGAAGTTAATTGCCTTTGCAATGCATGACAATCCGTAAATACTCGTACTCGCTGTTCGCCACGATCCCGAAGCCATGCAAGCGCCTCTTTGCATGCCATTGCTTCGGCCATTAGGGGTGAAAAGCATGCTGTGAGTGGAGCACAAAAAGCCGAAAGATAGTCGCCATTGGCCGTGAAGAGGACTGCTCCTGCTACTGCTGTGCTTGTCCGGTGCTTGTACCCAGCGTCGATATAGCATAGGACTGGCTGCGATTGTTGGGGGTTTTGCGGCGTTCCGGCAGTAGACGGTGGATCATGCGGCTGCAAAACAGGTTGCTGCGGTGAGATTAATCCTTCGGCGGGGGGTGGGTGATGCTCGGACGGAGGCGACAGTGCAGCTGGGAGGTGGACACGGGTCCATGCATTCATGGTGGACCTTGCGGTAGCAAGGACTCTCGTTGGTCTTTGGAGGCAAGCATCCCAAACCGCTCCGTTTCGTGCTCTCCATAGGTGGTAAAGGATGGCAGCTGCGAACATGATCCCATCAGAGTCTAGAACATTTAATAATGCACTAAACCATTCATGAAAAATATCTGTTATAATATTGGGGATTGGGAGGTTAGATCGTGCCCATATGGCCCTTGCATAGTCACATGATACCAATGCATGCATTATATTTTCATGATCCACCCCACACATATTACACACCGGCTCAACTAAAAATGACCATTTTACCCGTTAAATAATTTTTTTTTTAAAGTTTACGTTTTTCCGGCCAAATTCCACTGGTGATTTAGCCGGGAGGACCAAATCTACTAAAAAAAGCACAGTTAAAGGACTAAATTGCTAGTTTTAAAAGTCAAGGACCAAAATTAACATGCCCCCTATAGTTATAGGACCAAAAGTGTAATTTGCTCTATATAAAATTACATTACATGTGTATCATGCTTAATAACATACATTCATCCTATATTATGTTCATAATATTTGTTCTATATGATTATAAACTTAAACCTTAATTGGAGATGTCAATCTTAACCTGAACCCGATGGGCTGGCCCGATAAGACCGAAACCGACATGACTATTGCCCGAACGGGTTAGCCCGATAAAAAACATTAGCCCGAGGCCCAATCAGGCTAGTCCAAAATTTAATGGGCTAGCCCGATGACCTGAACTATTGAAAGTTATTCTTTATTATTATTATTATTATTATTATTATTATTATTATTATTATTATAGAAGTGATGATGTGAAACATAACATGCATGAAATTCCAAGTTCTCTTATCTTTTGAACGGAACTCTATCAAGGCTGCGAATCTACGATTAGGCATGTAGTCATATCTTAATACTAAGAAAGCTGATTGTCATGAACACACCACCCCGGAGCTTGACAAGAGTCCGCTGACGGAGATGAGCCACGGCCACCAGCTCCGCGCGGGAAAGTTATCTCAAATCTCTCCCATCTCTCCGCCAGCCACTTCACCGCCACCACCGTTCCGTCGTTGGGCATAATAACCACCCTGTATACCCGCTGCCCAAGATTCACTTTCATAAAACCATTAGACCCGACAAAGAGCTTGTAATAGCTAAAAATCTTGGGATTATCGATCCCTACTTTATTTTCAACCATCTGCGTGTCGTAAAACTGCCCGGAAAACTACTTCTCCCCGCCACTTTCGGGCTGCAAAAGCTAACCCACCTCGAGTCTAAGAATCTATGCAAGGAATCGTTAACAAAATTAAGAAGAATCAATGGTTCTAGTGTTGGAGTTCCTCCATGTCATGAAACTGCCTAGAAAACTGCTTCTTCCCCGCCACTTCCCGGCTGCAAAAGCTAACACATCCAGAAGCATACGTTAAGGAGAAGAAAGTTAATGGTAGAAAAGAATTGACAAATATAACTATAAAAAATTATTAATAAAATTTTAATTATATAACATCAATGACTAAATGTTGTACATTATAAACAATTAAAGGACTAAGTTTGTTGAAATCAATTGATAGGGGCTAAATTTACAAAAGTAAAACAATTGAGGGGCCAAAAACGTTTTTTTTTCCCTATTTTTAATTACATTTTAAAATAAAATTTTAATAAATATATTACAAAATAAATTATTTTTATAATAATAAATATTGAAAAATTAAAAATTATTAAATATTATATTAGTGTAAGTATATTAATTATTTTTAGTTAGAATTTAGAAATGTCGGTTTAGATTAATTAAATGACGTATAAGATTATATTTATTAGTGTAAATGTGCTAATTTGAAATATAATTATAATTTATTTAACATTGATATAATTTATATGTAATATTTTTATTTTACTTTATAATTATAATATTAGTAAGTTATGAAGTTTATAAAATTTTTAGTTTATAACTTTGCTTAATTTATGTAATAAATAAAAGTTACATTAATTATATATATAATTATATTAATATTAATATAAACTAATAAATATTTAAATAAAGAGTTAATGTCACATGCGGTCCTCTTGAAAGGACCATGGTTGGTTAAAATTTAATACTTGAAGGACCATGTATGATTAACTTGGACCATGGATGGTAACAATTTGAAAGTGGAAGGACCATATGTGGTCAATTTGAAAGTTTAGGATTAAACGTTGCAAAATCACTTTACTCGGAGAACCTCAAATGATATTAGCTCTGAGGGCCGGTCCTATCATTTTATAGGCCCTGGGCGTAGCAACAAAAATGGGCCCTACATTAAATTAATATACATTTTTATAACTAAACTTAAATTAGATTTAATTACCGAAATGGTCCCTTGACTATAGAAAATTTATCAATTTGGTCATTGACTATTTTTTAATTTTTTTTTACCAATTAAGTCCCTAAATTTTTAAAATCTTAACCAATTTGGTCCTCCGTTTGTTTGACCGTTAGTCAATCGTTAACTTGGGATCAAATTAGTAATTCGCTATAGTCAATGGGCTATTTTGGTAAATAACTTTAAGGGTGGGCAATTTGGTTCAGTTTTCTCGAACCGAACCATACCAAACTAGTTAGATTCGGTAATATACCGAACAACCAAACGGTAATAAATTCTTGTATACCGAACGGTTCGGTAAAAACCGAACCGAACCGAATACTGTTTGAACTTTGGATTGCTATTTTGTTATATATTAGACTTTAGATATGGACTATGTAAACACCATAACACATAATATAGAACTTTTAATAACAAACCATAAAGAAATCAAATAAAACATTTATGAGAGATGCCCGTGAAAATATGAGCTGAACGGCAGAGCAAGCAATAAGGGACTTGGATTTACTTTTTATTTATTTATTTATTTATTTATTTATTTATTATTATTATTATTATTATTATTATTATTATTATTATTATTATTATTATTATTATTATTATTATTATTATTATTATTATTATTATTATTTAAAAAAAATCAAATGGTATTCGGTTCGGTTCAATTTTTTACCGAACAATTCAGACTTAGTTTCTTATATATATTATCGGTTCAATTTACACTGAGTATCGAAACAATATATATAACATACAATATATATATTTATGCACCTAGGTGCAATTACCTATAACTATAGGTGTACCTAGTTATAACGTCAGGTGCACTTAGTTTCGATATTCAGTGTAAATTTTACTTGCACCTATAATATATACATTTTACATGAACTTGTAATACATTTTACTTGTAGTTAGGTGCACTATATGAAACTGCTACTTGCACTTGTAATACATTTTATTTCACTTCGATGTTTAATTATTTACGCAAATACCACCGTGTTTTTTTTTAAAACATTAGTGTTTCTCATCTATTAGATCTAGACACGTGAACGGATGACGTGCATTCTCATTTCTTTCCTGGGCAAGCCATTCGCACCTGAACGCTTTCATATATATATATATATATATATATATATATATATATATTGGAAAAAGTTCAAATGCGGCGGGGTCTTCCCGTGCGGCGGAATTTCAGAATACACCAACAATGTTAACAATATGCACCAACAGTGTAAGGAAAACACACCATAATGAAATGCAATAAAACATCAAAAAATACACAACAGACCCAAAAAAATACACCATATAACTCACCACCCCAATGGTGTATTTCCGAACACTGTATGGTGTTTTTACTCACACCTAATGGTGTGTGTTTGGTGATGCGTACCTAATTTGTCTCTGTTTTTTGTGGTGTATTTTCCTAACGTTGATGGTGTATATTTGTTGAACTATTGGTGATGTCGCACCGCCGCACCGTAAGACACCGCTGCACCTGAACTCGCCTATCTATATATAGAATCTATGAATTATGAATCTACAGAATAGAAATTATGAATTTATAGTATAGAAATTATGAATCTACAGTACGATATAGAAATTATGAATCTACAGTAGTATACATGTTATGAATCTACAGTATAGAAATTATGAATCTACAGCTTAAAAATTATGAATCTATCTCGTGTTCACCATGCGCATAGTGAACACGGTTTCACAACATAACTATTGCAGTAATATCATCAAATCGCAATTTAGAATAAAAAATTTTGAACACTTAATTATTTAAAATAAAGTAGTACTCTATAAAATTTAAAATTTAAAAGCGCCTAGGGGTCGATTCCTCCAATTAAGCAGAAGCTTTGTATAATTCTTTTACTGTATATTTTTAACCCTTTAATCTGTTTTGATTGAGACCTGCACCGTCATAGTTCAATCCAGATTTGTTATATATTCTTAACTAGAATTAAAATATACGTTTTCCTAATAAGATTAATTAATATTTTTTGGATAAACATTCTAAATAAGACATATAAGGATTCTAGATCTCATGACATAATTTTCATACCTAATATATATAAATTTGCATAATGGTTATTAAGTACTCCGTATGTATCATGCATATTGCAAATTTTTAACCCTTTAAGCCATTTTGAGATCAGTTATATAATTGATTTTAAATCTTGGATATAATTTTCATACCAAATATATATTTCTTTTAACAGTTATTTAAATATAAGTAAAACTCCCTAGCTTCTTGTGTGTGACTTCATATATCTATATATATACTAGCTACTAGATAGCAAGAAAGTAAGAAAGAAAGATTAAAATAAAGTTGAAAATGGGTTGCAGCAGTTCATTCATCCCAACATTTGCTCTCATTTTACTCAGAATTTGTTTACATAACGTTGAAGCTGAAATCTTTAACGTCTATTCTTTTGCTGCCATTTCCGATGAAGAAGATTCTGATATTACAGCGGTAAATATTTATTCTCTATTTTCTTTTAAATAATTCTCGTTTTATTGTTCTCAAAAGGTTGAGTCCCCAATCTTAAGGACTCCCACGTCCAGACTTGATAGAGCATCTGAGAGGATGTTGTAAATCATGATAACTTAGTGGAACTGGAGGTCAGATTTATGCTTATTGTGCATGAGGAGCCCCTCACTTTGAGAGGCGGCTCCCACACTGTTGCTGGTGTAACTTGATCTCGGGTCATCGTGCCAATCATAATTTTCGTTTTATGATTGGCAGATCAGATATGATGATTTAACACTACTGGAAATTCTGAAATTTCTGAACACCTGAAAGTTATCTTAAATCAAGTAGAAAGCCTTGTACCGACCACTTTTGGTATCTGGAAAAACCCTTGTTGCTATTTCCGACCACTTTTTGCTTTCAACTTGATTTAAGATCACTTTCAAGTGGTCGAAAATTCAATAATTTCCAGTAGTGTAATATCAATAAAATTTTCAAAATCGAACATGGTTTACATAGTAACGTAAATCATGAATAAATATTCATTTTTAATATACTGATGACTATACATTATCTGTGTACTGAATGTTTTCATTATTTAATAGTATATCAAATAATGTATCTTTTAGTAGTAAGAAATTCTAGTTTGTTGTGTTTTAGGCGTTGGAGGAAGGGTGGAGCCTAGCATGCCAGGGAAGCAATGACGACAAAAACACAGTTTTGATTCCAAAGGGAACTTTCTCGTTGAAGGCCGTCACGTTTTCCGGCCCATGCAATGCTCCGATCACATTTCAAGTTGACGGCAACGTGAAGGCTCCGGCCGGCGCTTCTGTCGGCGGCGCCGAACAATGGGTTCTGTTCACCGACGTCCAGGGCTTGACCATTTCCGGCACCGGCACGTTTGATGGCCTCGGTGACACTGCGTGGGGTGAAAACAATTGCAAACAAGATAACGATTGCGACCAACTCCCCACGGTATGTATTATCTACACTATATACTCTTTTAATTCATTTATACAAAATTCAAATTATTTATTCAATTTATAGATATTTAATTGTTTTTTATCACTCGTTTCTTTGAATTATATTCTTATAGCTCGTTTTTTTCATGAATTATTCAAGTGATGATTTTTCTTGATCTCTATGTTAAATGGACGTTTAGATCGGACCCTTAAAATTACGGGCAAAATAGATATTTTATTTATTATTTTTTTCAACAAATTATTATTTATATGTACATAGGAACTAGAATAAATACAAAACATAACAAAAAAAATTTGCAAATATTCTAATTATAGTTTTAAGGTAATGCTAACAACAGAATTAAGATTTAAATATAAATAATTTATTGTTGTTAAATTTGTATTTAAATCTTAATTCTATTACTAGTATTATAGTACAAATGTTGTCAGCCTTTTTTTTTTTTTGTGCATTTATACTGATTCAAGCAATAATTTATTGGAGGAAAAAGTGATGACTTAGGATACTTATTTTGTCATTGTTTTTTTAGCAATAACTTAATTTGTTGGATAAGGGAAATGACGTGATACATGTATATTTTAAGGGAAAAAATCATTATAAATATTTTTTTTGAAACATTTATGATTTTTTAAAAAGGTATTATTTATTCTCCTCATTACATCATGTGACTATTCATTTAAAATGATGACAGAGGTATCAATTTTCCATTTTTAATGATCTTTTATTAGACTAACTGAAAGTTGTATATATTTATTATATTACAGTCTATAAAATTGAGCAGAGTGAGTGATGCGTACATCGGAGGCATAACGTCGGTAAACAGCAAGTCGGCCCACATCAAAATTTCCGAGAGCAAGACCGTCGAGATAAACGGCGTCAAAATACAAGCGCCGGCCGAGAGCCCCAACACCGACGGGATCGACATCTCCAGATCTGACGGCGTCAAAGTATTCAACTCCGACATCGGCACCGGCGACGACTGCATCGCCATAATCCGAGGAACGACCAACCTCCACATCAACAACGTCAACTGCGGCCCCGGCCACGGCATCAGCATCGGAAGCCTCGGAAAGTACAAGGACGAAGGCGACGTGAGCGGCATCGTTGTCGAGAACTCCCGATTATCCGGCACCTCAAACGGACTCCGGATCAAAACCTGGGCGTCTCCGTACCCTAGTAAGGTGTTCGACGTTACTTACAGAGAAATCGTCTTGGACAACGTCGATAATCCGATCATCATCGATCAGAACTATTGTCCGAATTCGAATTGCGGATCGGAGGGAGAATCGGCGGTGGAGATTTCAGACGTGAAATACGAGAACATCAAGGGAACCAGCGACGACGAGGTTGCAGTGATCATGAATTGCAGCAAAGCTAATCCTTGCCGAGATATCACGTTGTCGGGATTGGACATCAAATGGAAATCTCAAGAACTCACCAAGGCCAGTTGTTCAAATTTCGAAGGGGAATTCATTGGAAGCAACTCTCCTCCAAGGTGTGGATGATCTGCTATTTTAACTTGTAAACCAACCTACCACGCTTCACCTTCAAATAAACTTCTATATTTATTATCTTAATAATTATAATAAAGTCATATGATCTTTCAAAAATTAAATGTTGATATTAATAGTTAAATGTTGGTATTAACAACATTTAATTTTCACAAGACTATATAGTTTAAGCATATATATTTTTTATTAATAAGATAACCATTTTAATAAATACTACAAAACGAATCTATTCTTACATATAAAACAAAAAAAAAAAAATTAATTACAAAGATCCAAACTAATGTGTAGAACAACTATACAAAATGATTAGAAAATTAACAATTTTTGAACTTGCCAAATGTAGAGGTTGCTGTTTCCTTTCCATCTGTTAAGAGTTTCTGCACTGCAGTGAGATAACTGGACAGATTTCTCTCTATTTTACCTATAAACATGATAAAATACAAAAAAAAAAAAAACAAATTAGTAGAAAGATTGACTGTTCGGCAAATTAGTACACCGACAGTGTGCTTTAAATATTTTCTAGTATTCTATTCTTTTTCATAAGAAAGTTGAAAGATGATATAGAGCTTTAGCATGTGTAGGTGTTCTGAATTCTAAGCCACAACGCACCTTAATCTTCAAGCAAATGTCTTCTTCTCCTCGTGAATGCTTTCCCAACTTTCTCCTCAGCTACACCATTTTCCTCCACTCTCCGTGTTCATTAACATGTTTTCTGAATTGTGAAGACGTATTTATATTGTTCTAGGTTTATAGAAACTTGTTATGCATATTTAATGTTAATCTTGGGGATTGTAAAAGTTATGTAAGATTTAAATTCATTTGCATTAACATTTGTATGTAATAATGATTTATGTATAGGAATTAGGAAGTTGCAAAATATCTCCTTTATTCTGATAGATATTCATTGGATAATGAATAGTTTCTAAAAGTATTTAATAAAAACTTTTAATTAACTTGCACTCGAATTTATTGCGAATATCAGCCCTAAACTCTAAAACGACAGCATTTTTGTTGGGCGGGAAAATGAAATTGCAAGAAGTTCTGCTTTATTATAAAGTTAGATTAGATTATATTAGATAGAAGAGTTACAAGATTAGATTAGATTAGTTAACAAGGGCAAAGTTGGAATAATTCAAGGTAATCTAAGATTACCTAAAAAAAAATGAGGGTAATCACATTACCTTGAAACATTATCGCCACGTCAGCTTTCAGGTAATATAACATTACCAGGTAATGTTATAATTTGAACCAAAAAAGATAATATAACATTACCAGACTCAGATTACCTAGGTAATCTAAGATGACCTAAACCAAACGCCCCCTAAGAAGCATGCATGCACACCACACGTGCAACCCCAAAGTCCATAAGTTTGAAATTAATATATAGCATAAGCTAGGCGGCCTAATATTTAAGATTGTTGATGTGAATATCGAGGACTACGGAGACAAAGATGCGTTATTCGTGGATTCATCGGATACTATCCAACAACACTCTCCAACTTAATTGACGTGAAGTAGGCTTAGTAACATTAAGATTATATTCTCGAATTATTAGTTCTCATCTTTTATTGATTACACACTTAATTCGATAGTATTTGAAAGAAAAAATCAATGTTCGAACTAAGATTGTGATTGTTTGGTCTTTAAAGGTCAATTATATGTTGTTACATCTAGAGTTAGAAATCTCAAAGGTCTAAAAATTTTGATCCGTGGTGACTCTAAAATTGTAATTCAATTACTATTGTAGTTTACTAAGTTCTTAAAAATTTGTAATATTAAATACTATGTACTAAAATTTTAATATAGTTTAAGATTTGTAGTAATCACCCACCTTAAATATTATTTTAATTGTAAATATATTTATGTTCATAATTTTATCATAGAAATTCACACATATATAATAATTACTCCCTCTGTCCCATTTTATGTGTCTTACTTTCCTTTTTAGTTTGTCCCAAAATGTTGTCCACTTTCCAAAATTGAACATCACTATCATTCCACTTTTTTTCAAATTACCCTTCTAGTTTTTGCTTGCTTTATTGTTTTTATTTCCAAAAGTGAAAAAGTGAGGGGCATAATTGGAAAGTGCATAACATTTACTTTAATTCATTAAAAAGCGTGCAAAAAGTAAATGAGACATCCAATTCGGGACGGAGGGAGTATTAAATAACAAAAATTTTATATATGAATAAACCTCATATAGGGTATATTTTTATAACATATTTTTCGTGCATCGTACGAGATATTTTTATAACATATTTTTCGTGAATCGTACGGGACAAATACTAGTATAGTTCAATAGCATAGACAATAATGTACTTGATATATGATATAATAAGTCTCCACTTTAATCTTTATATACTTTATATGTAAATTAATAAATAATTGTTTTTGAAACACTCATCATGACTACTCTCTTCAATGTAGTATCTGTTCTATTTTCTCAATTTTTTTCAGCTCCAGAATTGATTCTGTAACCACCATTTGGAATAGTAACAAGCGCAACATAGCAACATTCTTACATATATTTTACCAATCATTTTACATTTGTCAAGAAAAAAATGCTTAAATAAGCTCCTAGCTAGTTGATTGAAGATGATAAATTTTGTTTAGTTTAATGGAATGTATTTTGATAAATTAACTTATTATAACAATTTTGATAATTTACTAATTAAAATACTATCACATTAAGTGAGATTTGTTCTATTGAAGTATGTGTTCCTGTTGCTTTGATGAGAATGTAGAAATTGGTTAAACAAAGAAAAATGCCTTTAAAAATTATCTTATAATGTTTAATTACTTTTAATTAGGTATTATACATTTCAAAATTTAAAGGAAAACTCAACCAACATATTATCTCCAATTAATCAAATAAAAATATGTAGATCAGTAAAATAGTTAACTTATCGATCAATTTTAACTTATTTGATCACTATTAATTGTTTGACTTGGTTAAAAAAATCAATACAAATATTTAGTCAATTAACTTTAATTAACCAGTCAGCTAACAATTATCAACTACCAGCCACCATGGCAAATATGTATTTCATTATTAATTCTGGTCCTCAATGGCAAATATGTATTTCATTAGCTTTTTTTATGGTGACAAAAATAAAAATTAAATCCAAACGCATATCAAGAAAATTTTGACTGATATGCATTTAACAAAATTCCGTATATCAATCACTTAATTTTTTTTTTGGATACAAGGAAAAAGTAAAAAGCAAAATACAATTTCAAAAACCTGCAGGTACATAAGGCAGCTGAGTTATTATTAAAAGAGTTCTACAACATGTCTTACTCTCTCAAATTTATTCTTTGATGTGGCGAGCATTGATTGACTATTTTCTTCATGTGGGCCCCTGTAAATGTGTGTACATTGAAAACTTAAGTATGGGAGTAAAAGTTGAGTGCAGAGAATGAGTATTTTCCTTATTAAAATACTATTGGTTCAAAATTTCAAGTCACTTGTATAGATCCTCAATTTGCTCTTTGTATAGATCTGTTACTTTATCTCTCCTGACTTTCATTGTTGGAGTCAGCAAACCGTTATCAATCTGCAAACCCACAAACCAAAATGTCTAAGCTATTATTGTCATCTCTTTGATCTGGGAAATGAATGGCTAAGCTGCCGAAAATGATTACCGTAAAAGGCTCATTAATGAGGAGGATAGGCCCAATTTGAAACGTGCAACCTGTCGTCCTGCATTAGGGGAAACACGAGACGGGATTTTGTTGCGCATTTCGTTTGTTGCTACTAAATGATGACAACAATAATTTGGTCGATATTGCCTTACCATTTTTGTAGTTCTTCGTGTATTAGTTTAGATGTTTTCTCCTCGCTAACTTCTGTAGCGTCAGAATCAACCACGGACAATTTTTTTGCAGCTAAAAGAACCTCCTCTTTATGTGGTAGAACAAGAGCTCCAAGACGTCGTTTATCCTACATGTTACAGGTGTGAAGTTGTATGATGTAAAATAAAAGGTGTATGTATTCAAATGAACATTAAAACTAGCTGTAAAAATCAAAATCTACTACACACCTGACCAATGACAACTATCTGTTGAATCAAATTGCTACCCATCGCAGCTTCTTCAATCTCAGATGGTTCGACGTTTTCACCTATCCATTGCACACATATGTCAGTTGTTGCATAAACTTTATGGAAATGTTTCACAGCTAGAATGCTGATAGCCAAGGCTTTGAGAAGAAAATGAAATTATGGAGTAAAAGATACTAGATACCTGATAAACGAGGATAAAGAAGATTACTTTTCCCATTATAAAGTGGGATAATGTGTTTTAGGTTCATATGAGAACCACTCTCTGCGTGAAAACTGTGAACAAATTTGAGCTGTAGTAGATCTAACGTTTGAAAATAAGGTTAAAAAGGGTGGGTCAGTTTTATAAATATTACTCCGTACAAACTTTGAATTTTGTAATATTTATGAAATTGACTGACTTTCTTTTTTCAACCGTTAGATCTAGTAGATGGGACATTCCATATTTGTCCACAGTTCTCACAGGGAGGGTGGTTCTCATAGGAGCCCAAACCGGTAGAATAAAATACTATAAGCATGTAAAGCAGCATTGAATTAAATGCAGAAGTTACATGAACAGAAAGCACCGAAAGGGAACAATTTTGTGATTCAAATTGCAAGTGACTAAAAGGTTTTAGCTGATTGAAAGGTTTTTACTCCAAATTTGGTATTCGTGCAAAATTGTATTCCTACTGTCAGCCCATATCACCATGGTATGGAATTAGAAAAGTTTGTTGTTCAGTACTGTAAATGAAAAATGGTGGGTGAATATAACAGCTTGAGTATCATTGCACCCCAAGAGTTTAGCAATCACCTGATGAAAGCACAATAGTATCCTTGGCACGACCTTCAAGAACAATAAAACCAGAAGAATTGCGAGATCGCCCTATAGAATGATTAGGAACAATCCAACCAAGATCACCAGTATTTAGCCATCCATTCTCATCAATAGCTTGCTTTGTAGCAAATGGATTCTGAACATAAAACAAATGTTCATACTCAATACACAAACAACAAGATCAGTATTCAAAGATAAAAGCAAATGTTCTTTATAAGCTACTAGACAAGCAACAAGGAGATGCGACCATATATTCTTAATGCTGCTTTGTAAATAGCCAATTCTGCAGAATATAAAATGAACCAAGGGCAGAATAGACATTCCATGAAATGCCGTTCCATTCTTGGCCTATTCCATGAACCAAACACCACATAAGAGTTATAAGAGTATAAGACATTACGTGGCCAATTGGTCATAGAAAGCAGAACTCAGTAGAACTAAAGTGAAGTTGCACACATACAAATTCATGAATTATGTGGCAAGAGAGACTTATTCAATGGAAAAATATGGAAATTTCTTAGATTTACTAACTGTTAAGAGTCTCACATTGATAAAATAAGAGAGGACATAAGGGTTTATAAGGTCATGAGTTAGACTAGCTAATTGATTGGATTCGAATCTTTTAGTGTGGTTTGGCCCATGTGCATTACAGCCCAATTGAGTGACCTTGACCCAATCTTTAGATTACAACATCATGTCCGATCCACTTTGTGTTCACCGGGTTGTCTATTAGTGGTATTGGTGGCGTCCAAACTTTCGTCCACTTTGGTGGTATCCAGAGCCTTTCATTTTAGGGGAGGGTCCATTTCAAGTGGTCAACCGGTTAGATTCAGAATGACACGGTTGTCCACTTGAGGTGGAGTGTTAAGAGTTCCACATTGATCAAATAAGAGAGAACATATGGGTTAATAAGGCCATGAGTTAGTCTAGCTAATTGATTGGATCCAATCTTTTAGTGTGGTTTGGCCGATGTGCGTTATAGCCCAATTGAGTGACCTTGGCCCAATCTTAGATTATAACACTATCAAATACTTTATAACAAAGAAAGCATTGATTGCAACAAAATGAAACTGATTTAAAAAAAAATTGAAAATCATTGGAGTACTAACCTTGTAGTAGCCCTTCATCACCTGTGGTCCTTTGGCTTTGACAATGCCTTTTGAACCAGGGGAGAGGGCCTTATCTGTTTCTGCATCTACTACTTTTATTTCCGTGTGCCGAATGGGAGGCCCAATTGAGCCAAGGACCTACAAACATTAAATGTGTAATTGTCACGATATAGACTTTCAGTTGTATAGGCAACGTAAAGCACAGTAAAAAAGTAGCTGAATACAGGAATTTATGATCTGTAAGATCGAAATCAAATGAGCAACAAGAACAGATATGCATGCAATGGTGTAAGTACCAATTAATTTGTACAAGCCAACAAGCCCCCTCTCTTCCCCCAGTGAACACCAATCTCCACCCAAGAAAAACTTAATAAAGCAAAATGATTAAAAAAACCTATATTGGATGGATCAAAGAGAAGATTGTTTGGGGTTGTGCACTCAATAATCGTGATGAGAGAAAAGGCTGAAAGTAATGCACACTATTTTTTTTGCTAGGGGTAATTTCCAGTGGCTTGTCCAGTTTAGATGTACTGTCAAAAGTTACAATTGTGGGGTCTGTCAATTTTATTTCATGAAAAGTTACCTCTACTCAAAATTGTTTTGAGGAAATTAAGAAGTGATGTCTAAAAAAATAGTCTAGGTAGGTGATTCTAACACGTGAATAGTTGACGATGAAAAACAAATACAAATAGACAATTCACTCATTTGAAGTACTAATCAGTGCAAATCAACAAACAACTTCAGCTATGACAGTTAAAAATTGATTAGAAGTGCACAGTTTCAATGTGAAGAGGATTACATTACAGTTTGGACGCCGACAAGCAACAACAGGAGCTGACTCTGTTAAACCATATCCATTTTGCAATTTTATGTCAATTGCCTGTATGATATCACAGTTTGAATCAGAGCTAAGCATCAATCCACACCCTTGGCGATAGCCATAAAGATAAAGCACCAAACCTCAAAGAACTTGTCAACATGCGAGGAAAGACTACCACCTCCACTTATTCCAGCCTGCAAAAGACCAAAGCCATTAATAAGTTAACATCTACTACATAATATCTTGTACAGTACAAAAAAATTATTGGTAGGAGTGTTGTGATCAATTGCTCGTCATAGGTTCACGTGCTAGAATCAACTTCTCAACAGGGGTAAAGTTGCATAGACCTTTCCTAAAACCTACATTGTGCCTGAGCGCCTGACTCTTTCTCACTATGCCAAATATACTTTCTATACATGTGGCCACGTAATTATGAAAATACATCTTCACAGTACATCGATGTACATTGGCATCTATGCTACACTCACTTCTTTTAGTGTTTCCCATTTTTGGAAGATAATTTTGGCTTGTATGATTTCAACCATATTAAGTTGTTATAGGTCTCAATAAGTGCTTAAAACTATTGAGAAAGACATATATGGCAATCTTAGCTCAGATTATTATGACCCCACTCAACTGCCGCATTTCTTAGATTTAGTGAACAGAATTTTAGAAGTGGCGTTATAAGTGCTTTTAGGAATGGTTGTGAAAAGGGGTCCTCCATAGACACTAACTGTTCATCAAGAAAATCACCCACAGTGTGCTTTTATCTGCTGCCATGTTTCTCGTTTATTTGCTTATAAGCTTCTTCGTTGCTAGCATAACTCTAAGTGCAACCTAAAGCAGAATTAGTTTATTCAGTCCAATGGTTTTCCTTATGGATAATGGAAGCAATGCTCACCAGTTTTTGCAAAGTGGGTCTCAACATTTCTATATACTTTTTAAACAGAGAAGACTCGAAGTTAAAAATTTATAAGTTTGAGCTAAGTTACCACAATTTCCTGGGAACATCATATATCAAAGTGACAAATAAAGACTATTTATACTAGTTCCCAGTTATTATGTAAGCACATTGTGGGCTGACTTTTAAGCTTATCAATTTGAAATTCACGAGTAACCAATGAATATGAAGAGTTGTGGAACCATGTCAGCATGTGTAAACTTGTGTATAAAATTCTGTGTGCAAATAGCATCCTCTAAAATAAATAATATGGGCATGTTCTAACCAAATATTGAGAAACTCATTCACTTGTATCCAAATATCCCAAATTTCTTTTGAAGTAAAAGAAAGGAAGTGAGTGACATATTAACTTCAATTTCTGCACACTGAATCGCATGCCATGGCTTAATTACGTATGCTTTTTACCATACCTTAGAAATACCAATGCTTGAGTGAATTTTACTGTAAACTAATTTCCTTGCCAACAAATGCAATGGACACAATAGAGCAGCAATGGCTCTGGCCCATAGCCAGTCCAAAACAGAAACAAGGTAAGAAGGCTGTTTCTGATCTTTTGTTAAGCATTTCCCCTGAAACATAGAGACAAAAAAAAATATAGAGGACAATTCAAAGAAATTAGTTAAGGTGCTATCGATTTACATGTGGAGTATCTGACATTTTGACTGTAGCTAAAGATTTGTTAGAATATGAAAATCCTGAATACTAACCAAAGCTCTCTCTATATTAATTAAAATTTAGAAACTCAAACACATTCATAATTGAAAGAAAGGTTGATGCTAAACCTCATATATCCTTTTGGCCTCCTTGTATGCGAAACTGATCTTTAGAAATAACAAGGCAATGAGCTTACGAGCGGGGCTGCTTGTATTTATCTGCTTCAGAATTCCACTGCAAGATTGAAAATTAAAAAATAAAAATAAAAATACAGAACACTGTATCATGAAAGAAAAGAATGCATCCAGAATATTTGGAAAGTACACAGAATACAAATCTTCATATTTGTTATTCCAGGAAACTACAGAAATTTAGATCACAAAATATAACAGATGGAAAGTTGGATTGAAGGGAGTTTGTATTCATAAATTCTGTTTAGTGTTTTAGAAGTTTATAGAAATTAACGCCAATCCAACTTTTAGCAAAACCAATTTTTTGTCATTTTATCACTGCATAGCTCCTCCTTAGTAAAGTTATAGAACATTTGTATGAAATGAAGTAATAAAACAAAAAGCTCGTTACATAAAATTTACCTGTATAATGTCTCATATACCAAAGGAACTGATATTAGATACTGTGGCTGATAACGTTTTAAATCTTCCTAAAATATGAGTAAACTGAATCAGAATGACATAATCTTCTTTTCTTTATTTTTTTAAAAGGACAATCACAACTGCAAATTGAGTACAATTTCTAATATGTTTAATATCAATGAAAACTAGGTAAACTGAAATTCAATGGAAGAGTATGAATATAACAATACAATATACCTTCAAGTTTATGACCGTAGTGTATACTTGCTCGCATCCTAATGAGAATATGAAATATTCAGCAGCACGTTCATATGCATGCCATGGGGGAAGCATGCTCAGGAATCTATCCCCGGGCACAACAGGTACAGGATCCCAAAGATTCAAAATCTACATATAAAGTCTCCTCATTTAATGTGCATCAACTGAACAACAATTCTGTAGATAGCAAAAGCAAAATAACAAGATCCTAAAACACTAGAAGTAGTTTCTTATAAATCATTACAACCAGAACCTGGGATATTAACCGAGCAAAAATTACCATGATGGATGATCAAAAAGCTATTGATCCTGTCCAAATACAACCTTTTTTGCTTTTAACTTTTTCAGGGTGGGTCCAAATTTACCTCTTTTTAGAAGGGCAAATTTGGAAACTACATACCATCTTATTTGTATTCTTAAAAACCACACCAAACGCAACTATTCTTACAAAATGGGACAAAGGAAGTACAAATTTTGGAAAAAATTATCTGAATCTAATTCAATAAAAATTAACATTAGCCAAGAGTTGGCAACAACATCAAAGTGGATCATCATGACGAAAATAAATAAATAAATAAATAAATAAATAAAGTGGTCACTCCAATACTCCAACCCAATGCAGTATCCTCTCACTCTCTTTGAATTCAGCGATTGCAACCTTACCAAAACTTGAATTTCAACACTGTAGCTCTATGCATGCATGCTTCCTGTAACCAATCTATGGACTAAGATCAACAATATAAAAACACCATATCCTATCTGTTGCTTTATGATCAATTCCAAGGTTTAGCAATATGTGAACCCCAAACTTAGAATGAGACTCTTTAAAGTGCCTTGCTTAAAAGAACTTCTAAAATGATATCACTTTTGGAAACTAGTGTTGTTTTTTAGAGGTTACTAATTATAAAGGTCAATGATATTGGCAATGTTACTATAGTAAAGGTTAAAATGAAAAGGCATAGACCTGGTGAAGCAGATTTTCATGCGTGAGCATAACACCTTTTGGATTGCCAGTGGTTCCACTAGTATAAACAAGTGTAGCCACATCATCGGAGTTGATCGGTTCATATGTGTATTGATGCCCTGCAATTGCATAGTTAGTCAGTGATCATTCCACCCAAACATAATTCAGTCTGAGACAAGGAATCTTCAAAGGACATACTAGTGTCTAAGATGGCCAAGCATTTACATTTAACAGAATTCAAAATAAAACAAGAAATAAATGAAATAAAATCAGCATTTTACTCTCACATTACCATGTGAAAGTATATTGTATGACCAAGTGGCCATTATTATATTCATGGTTGTTTTTTTTTTTCTTTTCTTTTTTTCTTTTTATTTCTTAAGTCAAATCAAATGTGTTGTAGCCTCATATACCCCATGGTTCTAGACTGTGAGTTAGTGGAAATTACAGAGAATTCCTGGATTGGAACTGGAAATTACAGAGTTAAAAAGCAGTGTGATTATGTGGGAGAAGATAAATTAAAGTGAGCTGTGGATTTGAGAATTGTTGTCTAAGCTTCTATAAAAATGGACCGGCAACTAGCATTTCCTTGCTAAGAAATGGAAAATATACAGTAAGGATATATGTATCTGCATATACATCCAATGGAGTATCATTTGTCTGGTATATTTGCTGAGGGTGATAGATAAAGTAGCAAATGTTATCCACCATAACTA